TTCCCTGCAAGGACAGCTGGGACGTATGCGGCCATTCACTACCCACGGAGACAGGACACGCAAGGTGTTGTGAGGCCAGGCTGAAGCCTGGAGGAGTCTTAGAGACATGGTACCATCCTCAAAGATCACTTTTACCTCCCTGCTCCTGCCTGAGGGTACCACAGAGATCTTGACTCTACACCCCCAATACAGATAGCTCTCCTCTACCCAACTGCGTACATGTACTTGGGCATTCATGTTTAGGTGTCCCAAAGGCAAGAAAGCAATGCCACACCGAGTCTGGAGCTTCCGTGAGGCACACAGTGGAGTAGACTTGAAGCTAGGGTTCCTTAGCTATCTGCCCTTGGGCTCCTTTCCTACCCAACTTCCACACTTCGTTGTCCTCAGTGTCCAGTCTGAGGGATAATGTCTGCCTCTCAGCATTACCTTGTGGGGATTAAATGAGATGCTCTATGCAGTGTGTTTGATGGAATATGATGAAGTGTGGAAAGAGAGCATCCTGCCAACCATGTGTGTTCAGCCAAGTTTGGTTGCCCTTGTCTCTTACCCTTGAATAAAGAGGTGACTGTATGAAAGAGTTGGCATTATCTATTGCCTTCCACAGAATGTAAGATCAAATGTGTGTCATGATAATGGAGGACTAGGGGCAGGATGAGGACAAAATAGAAATGCCCTTATCTCACAGTGGGACAGAAGCAGAGGTACCCTGGCAGTGTGTGACAGGGCTTACACAAGCACCTCCTGACCCAAACAGGCACAGGAGGAAGGACAGTACCCTCAAAGTGCACCCTGGATGAGCTCACCCCCACAGGGCAGGAAGACCAGCCCAGCCTGTGGTAGGAGGTGCCTAGTGATACCCACACTGAGAAGAAACGCTTCATGTGACATAGTCCTCCATCCCTGCCATGCTGCTGGAGCCTTGGGCCCTTTGATGAGTGGGATGTTCCAAGGCCCAAGTCCCAGAAAGATGAGCCAAGTGACAGAGGTAGAGTTTACTAGCCTAGACACAAGGCTGGATGATGATGATCACGATGTGATGTATCAGAGAATGCTAACTTAGCTCAGCAGAGCAGGCTTGTGTTTGCCACTTTATTGTTAGTAATAGCAGAACGGAGATAAGTGCTCCCAGAGGTCACCCATCCCATTGTAGGACTGATGGATTCCAAGGGCATCTTAAAGAGTATGACACCCTTTGTCTCCTGCTGATAATGTAAGGGGCTGCTTATCTGCTCAGCATGGAAAAACCTCCAGGAGAATCTGTGTGCTCAGTCCTCACTTGGACCCCCGGGCTGGACACCTTAGCTGTCAGAGGTTAAGCTGGCTTGTCTCTAAGCCTAGTTCCACAGTGCAGTTTTACTCAAGGAACATACTGTCCAAAAATAACAACTGCCTGGCTTGACAATTACCTTGTTGCCAAATGTCCAGGTGGTATAGCTGCATTTGGATGCACACAGCACAGAGCGAAGCTAGCTTACAAACAACATAGAGAATCCAGGACCTTTGTCCAGAGAAACATGAGAATGTATGCATCTGTCACCTGTATGCACTAAAGCCAAACATCTATAGACAGTGACAAGGTTCCATGTCAGCTTTGCATTAGCTCCCTGTGAAAATTTCACAGATGGCCCTGCAGGTAAAAGCACTTGACACACAAACCTAAAAACCCAAGTTCAGTCCCCAGAACCCACAGTAGAAAGAGAAGACCAAATCCTCAGTGGATTCCTCTGACCTTTGCACCCGTGTGTGCCATGGCATGCACTCACCCTAACTCACACAGGCCCAAATAACAAAACGATGATGATGATGATGATGATGATGATGATGATGATGATGATGATAAGATACTAATAATAAATAAAAATGTTTGAAAATTCACAGAGCTCTAAAAGGCTTGACATTCAAAGCCTTGGGACTTGGCAGAATCCAGCACTATGCTGCCTGTGCCGGCATCCACCATATTAGAAGCTTCTCTGTGTGGCCTATGAAAGACTCAACCTGCAAACCCCTCTGTCCCTGCTAACTTTAAACTTGGCTGGCAAAGAGGCATGCGCATGTGTTGAGAGCTTCCTATGACTATGGGGGCGGGGGTAGGGCGGGGGACCGTCTGTTTTAAGTCCTGCCTTTTGTGCCTCTGTTGAGATATGGTCAACAATGGACACGTTTTATTCTGTCTTCTTTCCATCAAAAGGGCCAGAGGACTGAGACAGGAAAGAAAAACAACCTGTTTCAGTTACTATGTTCTTGCTGGGCTTTTTATTGCTTCCTTAATACAAAAATAACTCCCTTCAAAAATATTCATTGAATTAAAAGTACTGAAAACCATTTAGAGCCACCCAGGACACACTGGGTGTTCACTAGAATGCCCTTTCCAATTTATTCTTTTAGTTGCATTTCATTTCTCTTATCATCATGCATGTAAAATTCTTTAAAGTTTTTATCCATGAAAAACTCATGCAAATTACTGTCATGTACAGTCTTGTATGGAATAGTAGGATGCTAAGCCATGCTTTGAGGTGCCAGGTGCTCTGTGGAGCCTTAAGAAAATGACACAGTCTTACAGTTGTCCCAGCTGGGCACTATGGGCTCTCAGACATCTTGTCCTCATGGCACACCAGCTTGTGAAGTACCATGGGGTCACAGAGTTAACATCCGTCACAAATGTTTGCTAATTTGGAGGCACATAGATGGATCTCAGCATGTAGAACACACTCTTAGGTACCTGCCTTTTCGTGATTGTGTGTAGAGGCCACCGTCAAATTCAGGAGACTCTTTGGGACCTGTCTGTCCCATTCATTGAGAGACATCTTTCATCTGGAGGAGCACAGGGCTGCCCTGTGAAAATGTGATCCAGAGAGCCAAGGGGCCAGAAAATATTTTAGCACCCAGCCCAGCAGTCCCAGCAGTCCCACTGACAGTGTGATCCTATTACGGACCCTTCTGGTGTGGCTATGGTGGAAGTAGCTCCTCTGTGTGTCTCCCCATGTGACATAGTTCAGGATTTGGGGGAGAGGGTCTGCAATATTGTATGCCAGCTTCGCCCTTTCTTCCTCCCAACCCTTACAGACAACCCCAGATGTAAGAGGGTGAGCTAGGTAGAAGGTGACCAGACTCTCAGTTGGGACCCTCGTGTCTACACCCATGTCTCTTAAAGCATATGTCAGGTCCTAGTGTGTTTGAAAATCCTCCTCAGGGATTAGGGTGGTGTGTATTGTCCCAGGACCACCTGATCAGGTGACAGTGCTGGTGCTGCAGGACTAAGGCGACAGACCCAGCCGTGGAAGGGACTAAACCTTTCTCTTCACCAAACTCTGAACAAAACAAATCTCCAAAAGATTGTATAGTGGGAGCACAGTGGTATTTGTGCTGAGAAACCATCACATAAACCTTGTATCTGAACAGCAGAGTGACCTTTTCTGAGGGGCCCTAGCCCTACCCCAGACGCAAATACCACCAGATTGCTTGGCATTTCCTTTTTAAATTTCAGGCGTTCCTGGTTTCAAATCAGCGATTGATCTGTTGGTTTGTAGCCTGTGTGCAATTAAGTTAGTCACACTGCTGTTGGAGTCTTTGGAACACAAGTACTTTGAAGCTGCTGCCCACCCCAGACACGTCCCAGCAGGGTGCAGAAAGAGTGGTCTTCTAAAACTAAAGTGCTAGTGATCTTGAGATTTGAATTGTGCACTGCCACGCCATGCCATCCTTAAAGAAATGCCTGTTTTGGTCTCAACTCACATTAAGTCCTAGGAGAAGTGGCAGAGCGCCTGTGAGAGGCAGCATCTGTTATGATTCCATTTCTAGGTGCAGCACCTGCAGGGCGCAGGGGTGAGCAGCCTGGGTTACCCAGGCTACAAAGGGAAGGCAGGTATCTGCAGTACCTGGGCAGGCAAGGGCTCCCTGAGGTAGGTGCCGAGATGGGTACAGTGAATGTGTTTTGTAGTTCTCCCGTCTCTGGCCTGGAGAGCCACAGAAACCCCTCCTGGGGCAGTAGCTTGTGCTGCCAAATTCTGTATTCAGAGTGCCAAGTCTTTCAGATTCCGATCACAGTGCTTAGCTCTCCCCTCTTTAAATCTGCTGAAGAAGAAGAACTTTCTTTCCAGCTCCTGTTAACCTGAGCAAGATGTCTGGGGAATGGTGTCTGGGTGGATGGAGGCTTGCTCTTTGGAGCACAGCGCAACGTCAGAATTTCTGATTGTGTTTCTCAGGGAGAGTCTATTAGTTTATGAGAAGCATCTACCCAGCTAACCGAGGCTATCTGGTGGGTGATGAGGAGGGAGTTAATAGCAAGAAAATCAACAGGTCAGCTGGAAGACGAGCCAACTCTTATAACCAGCTCTCCCTTTCTTTGTGCTGAGGGGTGGACCATCAAACTGCCTACATGTTGAGCAAGCTCTCCACCCCTGAGTTATATCCAGCCCCCTCCCGTCTTCCCCTGCCCCATCCCCACCTTTCTTTGTGTCTATTGTGCCTAAAGCTTTTGTTTTCTTTTTTTCTCTTCTTTTCTTTTCTTCCTTCCTTCCTTCCTTCCTTCCTCTCTTTCTTTTAATTTGTGGGCTTTATTTTGTGTTGTTTTAGACAGGATTTCCTTATATAGTCCAGGCTGGCTTCAAACTTAAGATTCTCCTGCCTCAGCCTCCTGCTCAGGCTGCAGCCTTTGTGCTGTATGTTGAGTTAAGCAACCCCATTTGAGCTGTCGCTATCACACTGAACTCAGGAAAAGCCCTTAGAATAAAGAGCTATGCTCTCTACCCTGAATTTGCCATCCAACTTCGGTTCTCCCCCACATAGAAACGGCTTTCCCCGCTCTATCTAGAGTAACTGTATAACCAGCTCACATAAGACCTTGACTTAGGTGCGTTGTTCCTGAGGTTAATCACTCCCATTCTCAGAAATGTCCCCTCCGGGTGATAGATTTTTTTTTCTTCTACGTGGCTATACTAATCAAAAGAAGGGAAGGGAATGAGCTTGTCTAACCGTGGGTCCCTCTCCTTCTGCCGCCACAGCTCCACCTGGCAGCCCTGGCAACCCTCAAGGGAGACATAGTAGAGCTGAATAAACGTCTGCAGCAAACAGAGCGGGAACGAGACCTTCTGGAAAAGAAGTTGGCCAAAGCGCAGGTAAGGGACCTGGATGGGTGTTTTGTTTGTCTAACTTCTTTGTTTAACTGTAAGTGTGTGTGTGGGGGTGTGTGTGTGTGTGTGTGTGTGTGTGTGTGTGTGTGGAAATTTTAACAAAACAAATGTGAATTTAATGAGCAAAGGTTCTAGGTGGATTACTAAAAACAAAACAAAACAAAACAAAATAAACCCCAGTATAGATTATCTGGCTTTCACAGTTAACATATTTCTGTGTTATGGATGCTGGACATCATGGCACCTGGCAGGTCGGTTTTTAGTGAGCCTAGCTCCCACACTGGGTCTCGACATGGTGGAAAGGGCAAAGCTATCCCTCACGTCTCATTTCTCTGTATGTATCAGGGCACTAATCCTATTCTCAAGGGCTCCACCCTCTTTAATCATTTCTCCCAGGTCCCACCTCCTCCTCGTGTCATTGGAGACCTAGTAGTATTCAGCACTTGGGGGTTGGATACAAATGTAGTTCATAGCATCCTCATACCTACTGCCCACAGTCAGGAAACAGAATCTGCCTGCCCCTCCCCACCTCCTTCTGTCCAGTCTAAGCTCTGCACTTCTTTTCCTATACAGTTAATCTCCGGGATGACTTTCCCGCTAATAGTTAGTTCTTACTTCTTTACAGCTTACCACTCAAGTTTGCATCCGTAGATGGAAGGGTTTAATTTTTTTTAAATAAAAAAGTCACTTTATTCTAATGACCTCACAGGAAATCAAGATACAGCTGGTTTAAGGCAGCCACTCAAACACTTTCCCAGTCCCAAACTCTAATATCTCAGCGAACTTCTATATAGCTAGAATGGCCATTGTAAAAGCTATGGTTTTACTCTTCCAATATTAATTATGTTTTTATTCACTTATCCACCACATGAAAAATCTATGATGCAACTGAAATGAGAAAGAAATCACTTTATATCCTCTTCCATCATTTATGTGCCTTTGGCCTGCATTCTGTCCTTCCCTGCCACATCATATTACCTTCTGTTCTATTTCCTTTCTAAATGTTCTCTCTCTCTCTCTCTCTCTCTCTCTCTCTCACACACACACACACACACACACACACACACACACACACACACACCTGCTTACCTATTCATGTATTGTAGGTTAGGCTCTACATTTGAGGGAAAATATGTGGCTTTTTTTTTTCTACATTTGGATGACCTTGATTAATATAATTTTCAAGTTTATCCATTTCTCTACAAATTTCATTTTTCCTTACAGCAGAATACTATTACAGTTGGATCTCACTCATTTAAAAACTAGACATTTCCTTTAAATACTTAGAATATAAAGATTTAGTCTCCAGGCCTTGTTTGCTTTTTAGCAATGATTTTTAAGCTTGGCCATTGCACCTAGTTAACCACACCTGTTGGTGACTGCACACTCATGGTATAGTTCAACCCATCCTGCCTCTCCTGCCATCCAGAGGTGAGGTCAGATTCACATCCAGTCCCCTTGGTAAAGCTGTACAATGTATCCTTTCACCAGCAAACACATAGTATCCTACCCCATTGATGATCTTTCTTAGATATTAGCAGCTGTTGATATAAAGTGTCCAGTCCAGTGATTCTCAACCTTCCTAATGCTGTGACCCTTTTCCTCGTGTTGTGATGACCCCCCAACCATAAAATTACTTCATTGCTACTTCATAACTGTAATTTTGCTACTGTTATGAATCGTCATGTAAATATCTGATATGCCGGATAGCTGATATGTGACCCCTGTGAAAGGGTTGTTCGATCCCACAAAGGGGTCACGACTCACTCACAGGTTGAGAACTGCTGGTCTGGGTGTATTACTTCATTAGGACTTGAAACGCGTGACATTTTAGTTGAATTATCCCAAGGCTACTGCTGGAGATGCTTTTGCTGGGAAATTCCCCACCTGCTGTTTGTTCAAATGTGATGCATTTCAAAGGGTAAACATAAAACAAGCACCTGAATCCTGCTATTTATTTAACCTTTGTCAGGAGGATGTATTGACTCGCCACGATGCTCTAAAAGTGCTCTCTTGTTTTTTAATATTATTAAGAATTTATGCATTTACATATATTTGAATTTCAATCTATTGTAATTATTTTCCTTATAAAAAGCTCCAGTGGGTACTATTTTTAGCCAGGTAGAGCCTCGGGTTCCTTATGAGTCTTGTGCATGTACTAAACAGTCACTCCAGACATCCAGAGTACATTTCATATCCCCCAAAGCTAGAAGTGGCTACCCTTGAAACAGCAACAGTTTTCCCCAGCAGGCAGGATTTCCAGACCATTGTCTGGGTACTCAGGATGCTTGTTGCTTCTAGGTTGCTTATTGTATTGGGCCTCTTTTGTGGATAGAATCAGAAAGCTGTTTTTATTAACCAATGTGGATGGGCATATATTTAATTATGTGTAAAGTGGAAGATAAAATGTCTTGGGAGCTCATGTTCGTCCCTCCATTGCAAATTCAAACTGTGCCATGTGCTTGCTTAAGTCCTGTTTTAAAATCCCACTTGTTTCAGCTATGGCGGATGTTAGAATGTCCCATAATCATTCATTTGCTCTGTTCCCCATTACATACAAACAGTCACAGAATGACGGTCCCACTATAGCTAACATAGTTATTGAGAAATTCTTCAAATGCTTTCTCTTTCAGTTATGTTGGCATTTGAAGGCAATATTCCCCAGGATTTTTACATCAGTGTCCTCCAATTTATAATTAGATCCCTTTGAGTAGACTCATGGAAATAATTCTCCCAAAGTTCTTGAGTACCGATAACAGTACATATGTACCCGTCCTCTGGGAGTCAGTTTGCTGGACTTGAGGCCTCCTTGAGGGTGCTGATGTCTTGTTGTGTCAGGCATGGGAAGCTGCTGCGGCATGTGATGGAGACACACCTTCCTTATGTTCTCAAAACTCTTACTCTATCAAGACCAGTGGTTCTCAACCTGTGGGTTACAACCCCCTTGAGGGGCTCATATCAGATATGCTGCCTATCATATATTTGCATTATAATTCATAACAGTAGCAAAATTACAGTTATGAAGCAGCAACAAAATAATGTTATGGTTGGGGGTCACCGCAACACGAGGAACTGCATTAACGGGTCACAGCGTCAGGAAGACTGAGAACCACTCATCTAGATATTCACAGGGTTCTTTCCTTTCATCTTTTTCTTTCCTTCCTTTTGTAGTTTTGCTAGATTTAGTCTTCATCCTTTTTGTTCGAGAACCTCATGTTTGCTGTGTATTCTTTTGATTATATTTGAATTGGGAAGTGATGTTTTTTGGTTGTGTGTTTGGATGTTTTGCCTGCATGTGTGTATGTATGTGCACCAAGTACATGCCCAGCACCTGAGGTGGCCGGCAGAGTGTTAGAGGCCCTGGGACTAGAGTTGCAAATGGTTGTAAGCGGCTGTGTGGTGCTGGGAACAGAACCCTGGCCTCTGGCCGAGCAGCCAGTGCCCTTAACAACTGAGCCATCTCTCCAATTTGATTTTGGGGAAGTTTATAATAAATTACATGTCTTACTATCAGTTTTATTTCCTGGCTTAGATTTCTTCATCGTTTGTATATTGTTTCCTCTTTGCCCATCTTTAGTTATTTCATTGTCTCAAGGCCTTTGTATGTCCTTTTTAATGAACTTTGTCTCCGTTGTTTTCTATTACTCTTCTGTGCTTTTTGGCTTAGTATCCATTCCTAAAATGGCATTTTTTTTCTCATTCTGTGCTGAGCTCTGTCACCTCATTTCTGACTTTTTCTGATTGTGAATTGTGTTCATTTATGCCTCACACCTGTTTCTTAAATCTTTCAGTGATTTTAAAACAAGCTATTGCTTGTTTTTTTCTCTGTGCATGGGAGGAGGGCATTAACTCATTGTGTAGTGTATTTTGTAGTTAATGGGAAGAATATTGGGCTGCCTTTTTTCTTGTACAGGATTTGACCTCAATATTTTTCTAGGTTTGGCTTTGATGTGATGTGAAAGCATATTTTCCTTGGACTTTCATTTATTTGCTTACTTTGAAAGATTTATTATTTTAATTGTGTGTGTGTGTGTGTGTGTGTGTGTGTGTGTGTGTGTGTGGTACATGTACACACACAGGCCAGCAGAGGGTGTCAGATCCCCTGGGGCTGGAGTTACAGGTAGTTACAAGCTTCCTGATGTAGGGTCTGGGGACCAAAGTGGGCTCTTTCACAATAGCAGTCCATGCTTGTAACTGCTGAGCCATCTCTACACCCCTCCTTGAACTTTTAAGGAATGGGGGTTCAAAGCAGTTTAAGATCATAGCACATATGACAGCCCCTTCTTGACCTTCCTGGTTCTGTGTGTCTGTTTCATTTATGTCTGGATCTTTTCCTCTATCATCTCCATCCCAATCTGTTTGGATGCTGCCCTGAGGTTTTTCTTGCTCTAGACCGGAACCCTGGGAACCAGTCTTTATAGTTCCCAGGGGAGAGACTGCCTTGGTCCTTTGTATCTTATGATGAGCCTTTCCCACCTCACACCTTGGCATCAGCACAGTCCTCCTGGGTTTACCTGTTTTCTCCAGTTGGCCGTCAGGCTTTTTCTGTGAACACCTATTGGAATTTTTCACTCATTAGAGTCACTCTTGATTCTGATATGCCAACACAGACACCACTCAGATCTACCAGAGATGTTGGTTCATTCTTACCTGCTTGTATATTGTTTTCAAAGAGACACTACATTCAAACTTTTAAACTGCTGTGTAGGGGCTGGAGAGACGGCTCAGAGGTTAAGAGCACCGACTGCTCTTCCAGAGGTCCTGAGTTCAATTCCCAGCACCCACATGGTGGCTCACAACCATCTGTAATGAGATCTGGCGCCCTCTTCTGTGTATATAATAAATAAATAAATCTTAAACTGCTGTGTAAATATATGCTCACTTTTTTTTTAATGTGATAATTCAAAGCATTTAAAAAAACTACCAGGGTTATTTTTAAAAAATAATTTTAAAATTTCAACTTGTCAGGCTTAGGGTAGTACAGC